TAACGGGTGATTTTTTTGAGGTTAGGATTTTCATGCATTAGTATTTGACAGATCACGTGGGATTTCAGACATGGTGTCAAAGAGAAAGATGCTCAGTATGCTTTGACATTTCATCATGAATAGACTTACTAACGAGCAACGCTTGCAAATCATTGAATTTTATTACCTAGAAAAGTTGGCAGAAAATCCGCTTTTTTATCGACAAATTTTGTTCAGCGATGAGGCTCATTTCTGGTTGAATGGCTTCGTAAATAAGCAAAATTGCCGCATTTGGAGTGAAGAGCAACCAGAAGCCGTTCAAGAACTGCCCATGCATCCCGAAAAATGCACTGTTTGGTGTGGTTTGTACGCTGGTGGAATCATTGGACCGTATTTTTTCAAAGATGCTGTTGGACGCAACGTTACGGTGAATGGCGATCGCTATCGTTCGATGCTAACAAACTTTTTGTTGCCAAAAATGGAAGAACTGAACTTGGTTGACATGTGGTTTCAACAAGATGGCGCTACATGCCACACAGCTCGCGATTCTATGGCCATTTTGAGGGAAAACTTCGGAGAACAATTCATCTCAAGAAATGGACCGGTAAGTTGGCCACCAAGATCATGCGATTTGACGCCTTTAGACTATTTTTTGTGGGGCTACGTCAAGTCTAAAGTCCACAGAAATAAGCCAGCAACTATTCCAGCTTTGGAAGACAACATTTCCGAAGAAATTCGGGCTATTCCGGCCGAAATGCTCGAAAAAGTTGCCCAAAATTGGACTTTCCGAATGGACCACCTAAGACGCAGCCGCGGTCAACATTTAAATGAAATTATCTTCAAAAAGTAAATGTCATGGACCAATCTAACGTTTCAAATAAAGAACCGATGAGATTTTGCAAATTTTATGCGTTTTTTTTAAAAAAAAAGGTATCAAGCTCTTAAAAAATCACCCGTTATGACAGAAAACATATTAAAAAATTATTTTAAGATTTGAGATAGAAATCGAAGTGTATAAGTTTCTCTACGCAAAGCACACACATGTGCGTGTGCTTTATATTAATAAAAATAAAGTACACACATGTGCCCGTGCTTTTTACCAAACAGCACACACATGTGATGTGAGCAAGTTTTTAATTTTTTATATGCACAGCACACGTGTGTGAGCGTAAAATGTTAGGATGTGCTGCGCATGTGTGTGCAAATACGAACCCTGCTCGGAAGTGAATTTCAGAACCTGCCTATGTATTATATTGACTTAAAATTATCCTAAACAAACGAGACCCCGCCGCCGTAGTACTCTAGCCGCGTTTGTGGTTCTACGAATGCCAACCAATCGGATGCGTGTGTCGGTAAAAGACCCATGCTGTGACACTTGTACAACGCCACCGCTACGTTTGCCAAATTACCCAAAAAATATACAAGCTTCTGACCGCTGCCTTGAGCTCCATCAGCCATCTTCGATGTTACTGCCGTGGAAAACATCGCTTTTAGTGGTCTAATCAACATCATGCCGACCATCATTATGGGGAATATCGAAATGGAACTACCGGACATGTACATAATAAATAAATTCATCGGAATCTACAGTCAATAAATAAAATATAAGACATATGCATATAATGACCTAGGTTTGAGAAATTTGGTGGACGTATATACCTGTTTCAATGGACCAAGCGCCAAGTCCCAAGATTTTTTTATGACAAGCCGCTGATCCCGCACTACTTCAGTGTGATTAACTAGTACCGAGGGGTTATATCCCGGAGGAGAAGGCAAGTCAGAATTTTTGCTAAAAAAATCGAAGATTAAATGCCATTTTCAGTCGACATCGCGTACACACACAAACAAACCTATTACTGAAATCTAATGCCCATTTTAATTTTTTCGCGGATTGCTTCGTTGACATGTTTCTTTTTTACTTTTATTAAACAATTTGAAAGAATAACTCAGATCAGACGAAGTAAAAATTTTAATGTTAATTAAAAATAAGAGTAAACGTCAAAAAAGTTTGTTTGACAGCTGTCAACCAGTCCTATTGTGAATGAGGTGTGGTGAGTACGACTACCTGTGAACGGTTATTAAAAGTGACAGCGTCACCGCCAACGTCAACATCCCCGTCAACAATGCTTATGCGTCAAGTTACACACAATTAGGAATGTTCGATATCGTATCGATTATTCTGAATATTGATATTTCATAGCACGATAATCGATTTTTTTTTAATCGGCTTCTCGTTCTGGGAGTCAAACAAAAACTGAGTGGTTTTGCTGTATAGAGCACTTGAAAAGAGGCAGCTACTGAGCTCAGCAAAGTTAAAGGTATAAAAGGGCACGGCGAAATAAAAAAAAATGCGCTGGCTGTGCCTCATAGATCAGTTGCGCCCAACGAAGGGTTGAAACGCATGAAAAAATGTATTCTCCATTCAGATATTCAGTACCGGCGCCAAATTAAGTTTTTAGCGGGGAATCCCTTTACTACGGTGAGGAAGCTCTCCTGTTATGCACTAAATTTCTTTCAACCCTCTGAATCGCCAAATTTTTTTCACCTCACTAATCTGAATCTTTCAAAAATTTCCCTTCTAAGCAACTCTACTTCTAGAGGTGTAAAACTATCGATAATCAGACCATCGATAGTATTCGATATTATTTTCAAAACTATCGATATATTGTCGATAGTTTCGTTAATGGGTTTCGCTCAATTTTCGGTGTGAAGATTTCCTTAAAAATATATTCGGCAATGACGTTTGGATACCCTTGTAAACTACTGGACACGTTTTTTTTTTTAATTGTTTTATTTTATTTAAAACAGATAGCTAGATGAAGGAACGAAACATGCAACTCCTTTATATTCTATGTATGTATGTACTTTAGCTGTTAATGCGTGCTTTCCAAACGGAAACGAATAAGGAAGAAAATGTGGCCCTTATACACTTCCGGTTTCGACATCCTTGCGTAAATTTCATATGTGCATGGGTATACATACATACATATGTAAGGATATGCCGCAATATTGACACACATATGTAAATGTACATGCCCATGGCTGTGACTTAAGGCTCTGTTATGCATACTTGGCATTGCATGCACTGCTATACCATTTTTACATAGAAATCAAAAACCAACAGACTTTTACGTATGTAATGCTGTGCGTTGGGTAACCGCTTACACGCGAAGCTCATTTAACAGATTCCTTATGTGACAACTCTCAAGCAATGCCAAGTATGCATAACAGAGCCTTTACTCTCAAATACACTTGCACTTTAAGTTGGCTCTCTTCGCGGTTTGATCTTTAGTAAGCATGCGAATTACAAATTATTCACACGTACATTTGTACGTATGGATGTACGTATGTATGTATGCTCTAATATGTATGAACGGAAGTGAATTGTACGCAAATGCTATGGATCGTTGATCTCAAATGAGAGTCATGTCATACCGACTCCCTCATTATTGGTTTCATATTTATTTAGACCTGTAAGAGTGAACCAGCCATCGAAATGCCTCCCATCGCACTGGCGCGCGATCGCGTTTAGTATTCAATTGTAATTTCAATAGTAAAGAGTTGTGTCAACGCTGGCGCTCCAACCGATAACAGTGCAACCAACGAATGTCGAATCACCGGCTACTTCAAAAGCGCCCAATACTTTCTATTAAAAAATACATGTGCATACGAGTAATATTGTACACATTTTTTTTACTCGAATGAATAATAAAGATTACGTGTTGTGTTTTAATATTTTTAATCACTAGTATCTGTTGACAATTATGCATGAAGCATGAAGTGAGTTTGGGATGCAAAACAATCACAGCCGCTAAGTCGCCAGTCAAGCTCTTGTTACTGTCGATGCTCAGCACAAGTTTATATTTGTAAATACATATGTACAAATGCGCATGAAATCAATTAAATCCGGGAGCTCTGATTAAATAAATTGTAATACTGCTCCAGAAAATATATATGGGATGTTTCTATAATTTGAGCGAATAAATGGTATACATATATAGAAGAAGAAAACATGTTTGCGTTAACTTTGTTATGAACTAAATATACATATGTATAATAAAATAATTAGATATACTAAGTTAAAGATGATGACCGTTACAAATTATTGTGCATGCGCTGATGATAACTTTACCAGCAGAAAAAGATGGACCAGGGCCAACCGAGCTGTCATTCTCAGCACAGCATTTTAAGAAAAATGGTAATATTTATTCCAATATGCACATATGTATGTATGTAAGTCATCTCATACAATAGGCATCATTAGCACATCCAATAAAAACTTATTTACGTAGTAAAAAATGAATAGTGGAAGTTAATCAACAATCTCTATTTAAGTAGGCCATCTGAAATTGGGCCTTAAGAGTTCAGTTATGCATAGATATACTTAGCATTGCATGAGAGTTGTCACATAAGGAATCGGTTAAATGAGCTTTCCGTGTAGCGGCTACCCAACGCATAGCACTTCACATGTCGAAGTCTGTTGGGTTTTGATTTTTACATAAAAATGGTATAGCAGTGCAAAGTATGCATAACTGGACTATGAGGGCCTTTGTGACGTTAAGGTGACGATTTGTCTTTTTGAAAAATTCACTTTTTCAAAGTGCATGTTATGATTATACAAATTTAAACATATTGTGCTTGTTTCGGGGAGCTGGCTCCTTTTACTATTTTCATTTATGTATATGTATGTAGAACGTTCAGAAACCATCCAATGATCTCACGATAACTTTGTTGATCGTACAGTGGAAATTCGTACAAGGACCTTCACCTCAGCACACCCCTAGAACAACATTTTAACTAAGTTTTTTTTTTTAGTGGGCGAAATGATTAGAACTGTCATACAAAAATAAAATTACATACGTACATACATATATTGTCCATAGTTTTGTATCTATAAGAGTAGATTGATAGCGTCGTCATGCAAAATGGGCAAAGCAAGTGTGTTTTTACAAGCATATGCATACTCATACACATTAGTGTATTTAAATTGAATTTTAAATGAATGCACAGTAATGAAAATTAATCGACTTTTCGTAATACGTAGCGCTTGATGAGGGTGGACAGGTATATTAATTTTTGCAATTATTTTTAACAAAAATGGATATAGTAAGTTCTAGTAAACATGTGTATGTCTGTACACCCTGCGACAAACGATAGCACATCAACATTTTTACCAGTTTTGACTACTTTTCTTTTGATTTTTTAAGGTTCATTATTTTTATATAAAAGTATAGCTCTCTATCTAACAAATAAATCTAAATTTCAGAGTTTGTACAAATATTATAAAAATTTCACACACTTTTCATCCCAATTCCATGCATTTTAATTTTAATCTCTAGAATAATTTTTGGTATGCAGTTTCATGGCTTATTAAATTCTAGTGTTATAAAGTGCAAATTTAAGTTGCTGGAAAATCGCGTTGATTTTTGATAATTTTTTTTTTTGCTGGCGGTATCACGCATTTTCCTCCATACAAAGTAACTTTTTATATGGAAAAGAGTACATAACTCCGACAGCAAAAAATTATCAAAAATCAACGCGAGTTTTTAGAAACTTAAAACTTGAACTTGTTATACTAGAATTTAATTAGCTATAAAACAGCGTACCAAAAATTATTCTAGCTATTAAAAGTAAAATGCTTGGAATTGGGATGAAAAGTTTGTGGAATTTTTATAATTTTAGCACAAAGTCTGAAATTGAGATTTATATGGAATTTGTTAGATTAAGGACTATATTTTTTTATATAAAAATAACTTTAGAAAAAGCAAAACAAAAGTAGTCAAAACTGGTAAAAATGTTGATGTGCTATCTTTTGTCGCTGATAACAAAATTTTTCGTCTTCCCGTCATTTTGGCGATTTTTATTTCTTTAAAAATTAATTTTGTGTTGCGATTAAAAATATCTTAATAGTACATACACTAGTATTTCACATGTCATAATAAATTCATTTTGAATACTCTATGTTTCATATAGACGTGTTCGTATGTACATATGTACATATGTATGTACATGTGCATAGATGTCTACATCTTGAGGTGGAAGCTGTGGGATGGTGTTGCAGCTTTATGATTCTCGCAGCGACGCCCACGAGCCCTCGTTCAAATGCACATTGCAACGCGATTTGCAAAACAACAGTCAAATTACCGTCCATGCAATCTGCTATTGGCCAAACAAACATGTTTCGTTGCTGAACTTCATTTCAGTCGTATGCAAAAATATGTTAATAACAAATAATGTGCATACAGATGTACCTACATACATCCCAGTGGGAATTAGGAGCACGTAATAATACCTTATTAGCAACTTACTCTTCACCTGGCAGTCATTACCATTTCCCTGCCGAACGTCCCTTACTTTTACAAAGGCATGGCCGCCTTATGTAAGTATGAATTTAGAATGTACATTTGGTATCAGACATACTTCTGAGCCGCTTTACAAAGTAAGTTACGTGTAATGCACAGAAGTCGCTCGGAGTAGTTCGGCGCTTGGAGATCACTTCGGCTGCACGTTACTTTGCAACTGACAACGTAATGTGTCGTTGGAGGTGTTCATTTTGTGCTTTACTAGTAGATGACATTGGCCATGATGACAATTTTGGTACTAAAAACTGAAAGAAAACATGGCTTACCTCGTAAGGTGCTTACCTATTTTCCCAGTGGGATATGTATGTATGCACACATGAATAAATGCACATTGCTGGGTAACTATGTACAAATATGATTGAATAAACGATAAGTATGTGGAGGCGCTAAAAGTAATTTGGTCCATATACAGACAATTCTTTAAAATGCCCGCTTGCAATGAAAACATTATTTGTTGTTATAGAATTGCATTACATCATCTGAACTTAAGAAGCTATTAATAATACTGAAAGTCTCTTATGAAATTTTATGAAGTTAGGATATTCTTTCAAACATTGAATGCATAAACTAAATACTTGTATTCTACTAGTGCTGCACTTCAAAAATTGTATAATAATTGCTATTTTTTTATGAAAACAAAAAAATAAAAAATAAATACATATGTAGTTACATACATACTCGTACAAACATACATACAAAACAAAAACATGAAATGGTCGATCAGTATCTCTAAAATTCCATACTACGTATGTATATACATATGTACATATGTATGTATGACTCACCTGAATAGATTTCTGGATTTCTTGTTGTTGTTACAGATTTTAAAGCCGTTTTTTACCATTGCTGTTTCCTTACTCATCTGTGTTTTTTGATACATCTGTGACGCGAATTGCTCCAAATTAGACTTTTAAGTACATTATGATAAATTATAGTTTTGAAATACATATGTAATTCAAGCGATTGCCTTAATCTGGAGAAACTAAAAAACTCGAAAACATAACTATAATATTGGGAACAAATTTTGTCAATTCATTTAAATATCCAAAACTTTTGAGTTTTTCGACAGTCTTGGCAGTTTAATGGGCCCCTTCCACATATGAATGACATATGTATTTACGTATTTATGTCTATGTACATACATATGTATGTATGAGGAACCACAGAAATTCCAAACCCAGCTAAAAATCCAAACATAGTTAGTACTTTTAGTATGCCATTTTTGTCATAGCAGATATAAATTTGTTCTGTTTTCTGTTCATTCAATTTACCGGAGACTAAATAGCCGGTCTTTAGTTGGATATTAACGTTTAACGCACATATCCATACATAACGTATTTAAATAAGTTTTAAGTTAGCACCACAAATACATTTACACTCCTACACGTAACTAACTCTAGCACTATTTTTTTATTTAAGTATTTATTTAAATACAGATACAGTGATGGCCACATAATTGGGGTTCTTTGCAAGTTTTGACCATTTTTTCTTTATTTTGTGTTTTTTTTGTAATATTTATACCACAACGAAACCCATGTAACTCAAAGTTTCAGGCCTTGTAGAAGATTTATAAAAATACGATCATTTCAAAAAATGGTCATCAAAATTTTAAATTTTTAATCAGAATTGCAGTTTTGTAGCTCATTCAATTTTAGTATGATATTGTGCAGGTGCAAACGGTTAAGAACTCACATTGATTTTTGAGACTTGTTTTGCTGACCGTGTTACGCATTTTCTTCCATACAAAGTATGCACATATCGTCGGTGATACTGCAAAATAGTCTATATCTAGTATTACTCTTGACACTTAGATGGTCTCTTACTTGCACCGGAATGCATCTGCTAATCGTTACACCCTAATAAACGAACTGTCTAACTTTGGCTGATGCAGATGAACGATGGCCATAATCGATCAGATACAGACAACAGATCAATTAAGCACTTGAGGTAATAAGTGACATAGAACGGTTTGCAGTATCACCGACGATATACAGTTCAACTAATAGGCACCGAAGTTCAAAATGATTTTGTTTGCAACTTATGTTTATTTATTTATTTTTAATAATTTTCATTTAAAATACTAATCTCTGCATATAAAATGTATTTCTATATGAAAAAAGTCCGCAAGACCTCCCACACAAAAAATCAAAAAAATCAACGGTACATTTTAGCGACTTGAAACTTGTACTTTATGTGACTCAAATTTAATGGGCTACAAAACTGCATACCCGAAAATTTCCCAAATATTCCGATAAAAAAATTGGAAATTTTGATGACACTTTTTTGATGTTCGATTAATTGTTTCTAAATTTGTATAAGCTTCGAAACTTTTAGTTATGTGGGTTCTGTTATAGATTAAATTATATTTTAAATGAAAATGATTAAAAATAAATAAATAACACTGGTCTACAAATTTCAACTTTTTTTCTGCGAATAAGACGGGACCTGGTGTTTCTGAACGGATTTTTCGTGCTGAACATGAATCCGGGGTCAAAAATGTCCCATCACGTCACGTTTTCGAGAAAAAAGGGGTTGAAACCCCTAAAAACAGCGTTTTTGGCCATTTTCGAAAAATTATAGAGCTGAACCCTGACGTGGTACAAATTTTGCATATATCACAAATTAAAGGCTAAACCGTGCCCTTTCGAATGAGCCCTATGCCGAATTGATCGCGTGCACCCTTAAAGCAGGGGGTGTATTTGTGTTTAGGGGTGCAGGAAAAATTGATCACAGAAAGAATTTAATCTTAAACGATCATAGAAAATTAATAATGCCAAGGTTTTAACTATATTAAAAGTCGCTGATTACGAATCTGCAGTTAGATTTCAAGATTTTT